ATATTTATAAGTAATTTCTATAAAATATCCCATCTTGATACAATTGAAGGGGTTTTAGCAAAAAAAAAAAAATTGAAGGGGTTTTAGCATAAATCTATCTTGGACAGCCAATAATGATTAAATCTCATACACTGATGTAGGTGCTCACACGCATTAGTTGTAAATGTTATAAAAACACATAATAAGTAGAACTTTTGTACACATAGATATTGTTATATACGATATTCTTATTGAAATGGTTGTGACATTCGTTAAATCATAGCATGAATACTAAAGGAGACGACTATAAATAATAGTTGAGATGTAGGATCCTCAATAAGACATTCATGGGACATTAATGATATTATGATGACAACTATCACACAAACATGGCTACAACATGAATTTTTTGCCTTGATAGATGTGATGTATAAAGTTTGTGACACAAGTCTTATTCAATATGTTTGCCACACAATTCTTGAGAGTGACAAATATGATATAAGAGAGGTTAGAACACAAGCTTTATTAGAGATGAATATGACATAAATAAGATTTATGTAGGTCTTACTACAATGACAATTACGACAATGCTAGTCTTGAGGGAGCCGGTTATTGCATGAAATTGTTATATAAAATACGATTATAAAAGAAGTAAAGTTTTGCAGGTGTATGTGTTTACGGTAATGATTATGACATATGTGAGATTGAGACTCTAATCTTGGTGAATTAAAGGTAGAGATACAAATCTCTATAGAGATGGATGTGATGCAAGTGATGTTGAAGTGCCACTCTTGTTATATTGATGATTGTCATGTAAATGGAGTTGCAACAAACGGCTTGAGGGATATGTTTGCACTATAAATAACTCTTGTTGGAGATGATTGTGACATAAGAAAAGTTATTGTACTACTCTCTTGATTGAAATGTTCGAATTATAATCATGCAAATCAATAAATTATAAAAAAAACACTACTCCCAATATAAAATGGATGGTTTCAGTATTATTTTGGGGACATTTAGATCAATTAAGACAAATTCATACGCATATCATATACACATGACTCATACCTAAAATTTTTTGGTTGGCAGCCAAAGCTCCCAATCAATAGACCAAAATTAGCTATATAAAAAGGATGATTTCGAAGCCCATCATCATGCATTTTCCATCAACTAGAAATCATAACATATTTTTTTCTTAAAATATTATGCAAAATATAACATTAACTAGAAACAATATCATCTATTTGGAAAGGCTAGCCGATTTAATTATTATTATTATTTTTTCTTTTCATGCCAGTAAAGTTATTTACTTATTTAATTATAAAAGAGCTAAAAACATGCACGCACGTTAACGCCAAATTAAACCTCACCGTTGGATCTAAGCCATCAACCAATTAAGGCAGCAAGCACAAGTAAATAAAGTTGCAAGGCAAATCCGAAGATAAACTGGATTAATAATACACAACATTATAATATTTTTTAACTCATAATAAGGATTTGAGCTAAATTTTAAAATGATTTTGGGTATTAGACACCTGAAGTAGGGTATGTTTGCAACGACTATAGCGCTTTATGAAGTTGGTTGTGAAGTTGCCATGAAAAATGCAACTCAGGTTTCGTTTGGGACGGCTTTCTTATTGCTTCTTGAGGCAGTTTTTTAGTACAAAAAATTTAATTTTTATGCTAAAAAACTGCCTCAAAAAGCAATAAAAAAGCCGTCCCAAACGAAACCTTACTCTAGTTGCAAAAGCAGCTTATCACCACCAAAAAATATTATGAAAAAATAATAAGAAAGTAGCAAGAAAATAATAGCCAAATGAAATTACAATTGTTGTCCAAAAATCGAATCAACATGAAAACCATCTCAAATAAGCCCTTAGGCTTTATTTGGGACAACTTTGTTACTGTTTTTTTAAAACAACTTTTTAGTTTAAAAATTTTAGTTCAAAAAAATTATACTAAAAAGTTGTTTTATAAGTTGGTAAGAATGTTGTCCCATTCGGTTTCGTTTGGAATAGCTTTAGGCCAGTTCTTTTTCTCTACTTTTAAGAGATTTTTATATTAAAAAATAGTTTTACAAAGAATTAAGATAGCCGTCCCAAACAAAGCCTAATATGTCATCCCAATGATTATAAGCTTTGTTGTCTTTTTAGCTGAATGACATAAATGCAAGGGTTTGATTACTGGCTAAGTCATAAATCCCTCAATTTCCCATAATAGTTAAAACGAACCGACTTACTTATTGACTTTTTGATAAGGATATATTAGAAGAAAAAAAATGTTCTAAGATTTAGCTTTATAAATTAATAAACGATGCTAATAAAATAATAACATAATGGTCAAGATTTAGCCTCTCTTTCTTTAGTATATCCACAGCTGTTTGGTAGATCAAACGGGAAAACAGCAGGCTTTCTTCAAGCCCAAGTCTTCCATGCTATTAACTTAAATCTTCAGCTGCTTTCTTGATTCACAAGGCAAATAAAACAATATTATTTACAGTGGTAATATTCTTCAGTATTCCAGTGTAGACACACCTAATTTGAAACTTATATTTGTTTCGAAAATTATTAAAATCTGCCGAAAAATTGGTTGAAAAGTCCGTTGGAAATCTGCCAGAAAATCTGTAGGAAATTCTGCAAAAAATATTTCGAAAATATTTCATTGTAATCCATAGAAAATTCGCCGGGAAGCTCTCGGAAAATCCCCCAGTAATAGGGTATTTTCGTGTAGTGGTTATAAGAATGCAATTACTATGTTGACAGCAATGAGTCACGATTCTGTTTACTAAGCCAGCATATTACTAATACTAGCACTAATACGATACTAAAAACATCGTGATAGTCAAAATTCTTATTTGTTTTGTGTGACTATTGAACTGAATGTCATTGCATCATTGTTCATATTATTTTATGGATTTATTTTTAACATTATTATTAATTTATTTATACAAAAAGTATGATATATTCATTGAGCACGTGATATACAAAATATATTGAGCATGTGATTAAGATATTGATTTAATATTGATATAGAATAATTTGATTGCATGTATACACTCATATATAATTTTACTACATGATTTAATTTTGATAGTCTTTATCGATGTTTTTATTTAATTTTTTATATGATTTATCTACATATTGTAGTGTTGTTATAATGATTTCTTTAGTGATTTGACACATGTACTATTTTATTGATTTCTCTATTATATTGCCCAATGATCATGTGAATGATATTATTATGATTTGATTGTTGGCATGTATATTGTTTCTTTGTCTTGTATTGAGTTGAGTTAGAGGATTTGGGTGCTTGATGGGCTTGTAAGCTCATTACATTTGGTTAAATATTTTCATGTCAAGGTAAAGGATCATGAGTATAAGATTGACAAGAATTCCTCATGTTTTATTTCTTTTTTTTGTTTTAGCTACTCTTTTATACTCAGGATAGAGTAGTGTTCGTATGCTTGTATAGATCTTAATTAGTGTGTGTGTGTGTGTGTGTGTGTATATATATATATATATAATAATTATTTTTGTAATTTATTTCTGATAAATGAAGTTAGATAACACTGATGTTGTTTATTAAAAGATAAAAGAATAATTCATCTAAATTAGATTTTGGGGTAGAATAATATCGCTAAGAAAGTCATTGGCGCAGGTATTATAGGTAAGGCAAATGATCTTAATATTGAGAAAGTTTTATTAGTGGATGGATTAAAAAATAACTTAATAAGTATTATTTCTTTATATGACAAAGGCCTATACAACTCTAAAATAAGTTAAATAGCATGAGATCAATATTTAGAAATAAAGCAACCCTAATATCCAAGGGCTATAATCATATAGAAGGAATGAATTTTGAGAAGACATTTGAATCGGTTGTTAGATTAGAAGTCATAAGAGTTTTATTAGTATTTCCATATTTTAGAGGCTCAAGTTGTACCAAATGGATATAAAAGGTGCATTCTTAAACAAAGTCATAAAGAAAGATCTACATGCCAAACAACCACCTAGTTTTGAACATGCATCATTTTCTTATCATATTTAGAAACTAAAAAAAAACATTCTTTATGGTTTAAAATAAGCACTTAAGGCTTTATATAATAGGCACAATACATTTCTACTAGTTAAATCTTTTATTAAAGGGACAATAGATACCACACTATTTCTCAAAATAATAAGACAATATATTTTGATAGTTTAGATTTATGTAGATGATACTCTATTTGGAAGCACAAATGATATCTTATCAAAAAATTTTCATCTACCATGAAGAATGAGTATGATGGGTGAGCTAATCTATTTTTTAGACGTTATTGTAAAATAAACGAAAGATGGTGCATTTCTTAGTTAAATTAAATATATTAAAGAATTAACTAAAAGGTTTGATATGGATTTGCGAAAGTGTAGACACCCTAATGAGCCAAACCAGACAATTAGATGAGGATCTAAGTGGAAACTTGTAAATTAGAAAAAGTATAGAAGAATAATAAGATCCTTACTATATCTAACTACTAGTAAATTTGATACTATGCTTAGTGTTTATTTGTGTGCTAAATTTTAGGCAAAACCCAAAGTCTTACTGCTTCTTAAAGCAGCTTTTTAGTACAAAAATTAAAAGTTTTTAACTAAAAAATTGTTTTAAGAAACAGTAAGAAAGCCATCCAAAATGAAGCCTTAATTGCAATGAAAAGAATTTTTCATTATGACATGCATAGGGACATCTAGCTTAGGCATCTAGCATTCTAGGGATAGTATGTATTTTGAATTAGTTGAATACTCAGACTTAGACTTTGCAGGTTGTAAGATAAATAGGAAGAGTGCATCATATATATGTCAATACATTAGATAATTATTATTTTCTTGGTCTAGACAGAATTCAGTAGATATATTCACTATAGAGGCAGAGTATATAGCTGCAGGGGTGTTTTTCTATGTTTCTTATATCCTCATGTCATTCTTATGATCCCTTTCATAATCCTTTGGCTTCCCTTTGGCTTCCCTTTGCTATTCGTTATCGAATAACTGAATGACTTATTGATTATTAGGAATTTCAATTGATGTTGTTCCAATACAAGAAAGAGAAGACATGAATGACAAAACCCAAAAAATAAAATTTTAATGGCAGGCCAAACTCGAGCCAGATCTCAAATATACAAAGAGTGAAGAGTAAACGAAGAAAATAATAACTTTATTAACAATATCTTGTTTTTTGAAGCTAACCAGATTGTTCTGTACTTTCTGAGGAAACAATTCAACGGACGCTTCCAGCATTCAGCTTTCATACTCTGTGATCGCAGGCTCTAAGACGACAGGTGGAGGACCTTCTAGCCTTGTGAGAACCTCAGGAGCCCCTGAAGAATCCCTTATGATCTGCCATAGCAGAATAATTGTTACATATCAGTACGAGCTAAGGATGTCTAAGGAGTGATGGTTCACCGAATCAGTAACATAGAAATTAAAAAAAAAAATCCAAAATGGGTTAGGATATCCTAGCCTAATTTCCACTTGAATGGGCCCCAAATATTGGATTAATTATTCTGTGCGGATGTCTAATACCGTCCGGAGACCAACCAGAATGCGCCATCTCATCCCTTTGCTATGTACCACGGCTCGGTATTGCTCGTTACCGCGGCTCAGTACAGCTGATGTGGCTGCACCTGATTCGTCTCCGGACATAGAGTTACGTCCGGCCTCCACACAGAATAATTTCTCCAAATATTGACATGTTGCATGAAAAACATTCTCATGTGACATGAAAACATATGATATGTCGCATAAAATATCTCATAGATTTGACAGAAAAAATATTCATTAATTTATAATTCGTTTATAAAACATTGCATGTATTAAAGAAATTTTTATTTCACATTCTATGGCAAATATTCTGTTAATAACATGTAAATTTCTTAATATTTAGTTGTTTATCATGGATTTTTTCATATTTAGTTGTTTATCATGGATTTTATAGCAAATGTCTTTTTTATTCTTCTATTATCTGCTAATCAAATTCATGTAGTTTCATGCTATTTAAATATCATTAAAAGGCCACCTGTCAATTTTTAAACAAATTCTAATGAAATCCTCACCCATTTTTTCTCACAAAAATAAATAAATAAATAAAGAGATACGGTTCAACCATTATCATGTTAGCTTAGTCTGTTGGCTGTTTCTACGTATGCCCTAAATTCTTGCAAATATGTTATAAGCTTTATGAGTGAATTTCTACATATCATCAGTGAGACTGCCATCTCCAGAACCCAGTAGCCTCGAAATAATCCATAAGATAAAAATGTAATAGCTTCTGATACCTTATAAAACAGTCAGAACTCATATACACAATGGTTGCGGCAACGAAATTTACTATCTCAAAGCATAGGTAATTGACACCTAACTAAAAATGCACAAGAAGTCAAATAACAAAAATGGCATTATCCTTCAACACAGCAGTATAACCCAGTTTCAATTATGTTTTAGACTTTGTTTGGAATGGCTTTCTTGATGTTTCTTAAAGCGGCTTTTCTAGTAAAAAAAATTAATTTTTATACTGAAAAACTAGTTTAAGAAGCAGGAAGAAAGTCATCCCAAACAAAGCCTTAATCAACTTGATGCCACCAAAAGAACGGCATGTTTGACTTTTGAGGGTATGAATTCACAAAAGGAACACTAAATTAATTTGGAAATCTATAACTGCATTGCAATCTCAAATTAAAAAAGCTAGATATTATGAAGTCCTTAAATTGATTAAAAAATGATTGATTGTCCATATTTGATTTGAAGGAATCGATAACATTGTTGGTTCTAGTTCGAAGCAAATGTACAATTATTATATATTTTAGAACCACATACCAATATTTCTTCGTCCAAATATGAAATCAAGATCAATCTCTGAAAAGCTCCACCTGAAGCATATATATTGGGGTTAAGAAAATCCAGGATAAAAATGTCATAAAATCAGAATGATTAACAGTATTACTATGAATGAAGTATTAACACCACCACATTAATGAAATTAATACGCATTCTACATAAAAATTGGTATGGCAACTTAAATGAAGTGTTGGATGTGATTCCTCGCAATGGTATTGTAAGAAACATGAATATGCAAAACTTGCACCAATTGACCGTTATATTCAATTTAAGTAAAAGGACTGAAGAATCAGTATGGGAGCACAAATTTTTTTTCTTGGATAGGTTTATAGGTTATAGGCCAGTTTAGCCAACACTTAGAATATAAAAAGATTCTTCAGCAAACCTTAAACATGCAGATTTATAATAAGAAACTATGTTCATGTCTCAAAAACTAGACACATACCACCTGCATTAGGCTTCAATGCTTTCGCATATTATTCAATACTTTCTTTTCTCCACACTTCACTAACATATTTTTGGCTCTAAGACATTCTCCAACGAGTAATGGCACAACCACATTTATAATCACAACGTCTCTCTGATCCAATATTACATTTTTCATGCAAGTTATGCCCATATTATTAACAAGATATGTAAGAGCTACACAATCTTCCATGAATCTCCAAATCCCTATAGATGTTTTATCTGAAGTTCAATTTCTTTATCAACTTACCCTTAGTTATGATTTTGCACATGCTCTTCTAAAACTCTTCATTACTAATATCCTTTATAATTTACAAAAATATCATTTTAAACTTTTCTTCATACCCTCCAGGCTCCAGCCCTCCATATTACCTAAAATGTATTTTATTCAATATTAATAAATCTAACTTAATCATATTCTCAAGATTAACATTTATTTGACTTAGATATTTTATATGTTGCATTTTATTATTCTTTAGAATCTAATTATCAATATAAATCAACAATAATTATAATTTTCACTGCACTAACCTCAAAGAAAATATTCAAGATTTCTTTAGGTTATTATATATCGCAATAGTACTTATTTGTGTTGTCTTTAAAAACAAGTTTCATTGCCTTATAACTTTTTTCTATATCCTTATTAAACTAATGAGTCATCTTAAAAAAAAAATTGAATCACCTTATACAAAAATCTATTTCGACCTGTTCCTCAAACTTGTATTAAAATCTGCTTGATGCAAGTGGTCATTTAAGCATAAATTAGGCATTTCTCAAGTTTGACGCTTTAATTTTCTACTAACAATCTACCTTGTAAGACTAACTCCACAACCTACAAGTTTTACCATCTTATTCTATAGCAATCGTTTATTTTGATTACCTTCTTCATTCTTTTATAAAAATATATTCAAAACTATCACATATTATATGGTGAAACTTTCTTCTAAAAAATATCTTACAATCTTTCTAAAAAGATTTCTCTAGCTTTTTAATAAAAAACAAAAATATATAAGATTAGGTAGCTCAAGTGCTCTCATTTATACAGCTTGTGCTCACACTATTACAGGATCATATTCTACTGTAAAATCAAACAAAGCTTCTTCCATAATAAATGATAATATTTAATTAATTTCAAAAATCCTCTCATAATCCATCTTATATGATCTTACATTTCCATTTAAATCACCAACAACTATCCCTCTTCCTCTAGTAACCACTTTACTATACCATACATTCTTTTGTTCTCATTTTTTTTTAACTTCTAATCAGTTAGAGTATAAAAATTGACTACACTTATAATGTCCTCATAAATAATTATCTTAATCACAATTAGGGGTGTCAATTTTGGGTCACGGGTCGGGTTGAACCCGGAACTGACACGGTACTATTCGGGTCAACCCGAACCCGACCCATTTTTACAAACGGGTCAGTTTTTCAAACCCGCACCCGACCCGCTTCAAGCTCAGATCAACCCGAGCCCGATCAATGACGACGTTCGACTTTGCTAGTTCGCTCCTTGGACGACAACACGAAGTTCCCTTTCAGTCACATCGGAAGTTACAACCATTTGATTGGAAGCAACGACGAGAGTTCGCTCACTGTGAAGCTCCTTCATTGTTGTTCGACTTTGCTCCTTCAACGACATTCCCTTCCGATCGAATCAGAAGTTACAACATTTTGATCGGAAGGTGGAAGCAACGACGGGAGTTCGCTCGCTGTGAAGCTAACTTTCTCCCTTTCGTGCACTTCTTCAGGTCAAAACCTGGTCAGTGTTGAGTTTTCGGGTCAGCCCAAACCCGACCCGAAATTTGAAACGGGTCAAAAATTAGGACCTCTGAACCGGACGGGTCAGGTTCGGGTTGACCCGAACCCGAAATTTTTGTGTCGGGTTCGAGTCGGGTTTTCGGGACATGTCATTGACACCCCTAATCACAATCATCTTATTACTAAGTCAAACTCAAATACTTATGATAAACTAATGATGATGACAATGAACAATAACCTTATTACTACTCTAATTCGACTAAAAAACTACCCATTATTATCCTTTCTTTATTCCAACTATTAACCTTCCCAGTATCCAAAAGCTTATAAACCTACCATGTGGGTTTGGAATTCTTTTAAATTTTCCATTTCATCTCACCAAACAATAGAAATTTATTCTTCTTCTAATAATTGCGCCCTTTGTCTCTATTCTTTTAATTTTTTTTAATTCTAGATCAAGTGCCTTCTTTGTTCTTAATCTCCAAATAAATAGCATACCATTTTTTAAGTATTTTGAAGTGTTGGCCAAAATTTTGTAGCATAACGCTTTTGGTAAAGAATAACTTCTATTCTGTAATATAAGAAGTAAAATTCTGCTTTTATTCATAAAAACAATCTTTATTACTATCTAAAATTAGGTTGAACATGAAGCAATTCATTTGGTATCCCCACTAAATTATAAGCAGGTTTAAGCAATACCAATTGTTCCCTATCTAGATCAAAGCATTCTCAGGTATTAGCTCATTTTCTATTTTTTGAAAATTTGATGCATTAATGTATGACTAATAGGATGGTTAATAAATAATTTAAAAAAGAACAATAAAATTAGTTTTAAAGGCCATTTTTATTCTATTCTCATCCACTTTCTAAATCTCCCTACCCCACTTATCCTTTATGGTTTCCATCTTTTCCACACTTCCCTTCTACTTTTATAGTTATGTTATGATTGGTATCAAGGCCCAACCAAGAGTTAATACTTACATATCTATGTTCACCCATTGTGGTAGACATGTCACTGTTGACAATTTTCATATTTACTCGGTGGACATGCAGAAAAGCTTTTTGGTTGAATACATTCACATTTTTAAAACCTCCATAACCCTACTATACCAACCTCTATCCTGCCCAAGTTCTTTTTTGCCACTTTTTAGTGCAAAAAAGTGTGATAAAAGAAAGTTAAAAAGAATAAAAAAGAAAAAAAGGGGAAAGAAGGGTCAGGTGGATGATAGAAAATAGCTAGACTTTCACACTACCCCACCAGTCATGCCCCACTTCTACTTCAAAACTCCAACAATAATTAAAAAATTGTGGGCGAACTCCAAAAATTCGCGTGTTAGCCTTCCCGCACGTTTTTTGTTGATGCGGAAACTTTTAACAAATTAGATTCCATGGTATATGTTAAATCTCATCCATCCCTTGGCCCTTGATCCCACAGCCAGCATGGAGATCCGTGGAAGGCTCACCTAGATCACTGTTAAATCTCATCAGTCCCTTGGCCCTTAATCCCATGGCCAGTATGGGGATCCGTGGGAGGTTCACTTGGATCACGCCAATCTCCTTCTATATTTGGGTAGCTAATTTAGGAAGAATTATATTAAGCCAATTATGCATTAATTTGTAGTTATTTGGTTCTTTATTAAGACATTTAGTATAGATCTATAAATAGGGATAATTTTGTATAATTAACCTTTTTTTCCTCTCAAATTCTCTAAATTTAACATGGTATTATAGAAATATTCTCATCACTGGCCTTCATTATTGGAATTCTGAGGAATACTAGTCCTTCCACTGGTCTTCATTGCCAGAATTGTTGGAAGAGAATAAGAGCAAGCGGCCTTCATTGTCATTGGAGATCGAACAAGAGCCAAGTAGTCCAAACCGCTCATGCCATCTATTTTGACTTGTGGCCAAAAGAAGCAGGGATGGGAGTCTCGCATGCGTGCAATACCGAGGAGAGATCAAGCGTGAGGGCTCCTCTTATGTGTCTGGGGCAAAACAGAGCAGAACCAAGCGAAAGCCTCCTCTCGCATGCGTGCGACTGCACGGGATGAGAAAATCGTGCGTCAGGACAACGGCTAGTACCTCCAGGGAAAGTCAGCATCAGGCTCAGCCTTTGTTCTTACGTGTAATGTCCATATTTGATCGAGCAGAAGTAAGAGAAGTCGAGCGCATGACCTCTCTTGTGTGCGTGTAACGCCCCAAAATCAGATTTGGAAGAACTATCTATTTTATCTTTTTAATTAATCAACCAGAGCTTATAAACAATAATATTGTAGATGACTATCCTCTTCTGATTCATTATGTCCCACTTGTCTACTCTAAGCATCACTCATAACTTGTGTAAACATGTTGTCTAGCTGCATCAAACTATCATAACTTATTGGAACTGCTGATGCACTCTGTCTATTCTATGTAACTTAATCGGTAGGATCCATCTATCTATCCACTAATAAAATCTTTTTTTCTAATCAATTAATTTACAAAGTCAACGTATATACATATGCAAAGCAATCAATCGAATGCAGAAATGAAAATCTTTACTACCCAACTTATACCCCACTCATAAATCAATTTTTATAATTCTCGTTATAATTCAATTCCTCCAACAACCGCTCAAGGCAATAAATTTTTTTAGGAGTCATTTTAAGCAAAATTTGAAAACCATCTTCGCCATAACATTTATATTGTAGTATTTTAACTACATGAATTTTTTCGTAATTTTTGGGGACTGGTGCAAATCCTTAAAAAATTGAAATCAATCAATACAAGTGGAGATTTTGAGACCGTCATGTGTCTATTTTGC